GCTCGCCCCTGTACGGTGAGTGCCGGCGGGTGGGTGGGCAGGATGGGGCCCAGCCGGAGCCGCGGGACCAGCGTCCGCTCTGCCCGCAGGGAAGTTCCTGTCGCTGGAGCAGCTGCGGGAGCTGGTACGGCCATCGCCCGTCGCGCTCGCTGCCGTGCACGAGTGGCTGCAGGGCGCCGGCGTGACGGACTGCCGCAGCGTTGCCACCTTGGACTTCCTGGAGTGCGTCATGCCCACCAGGTGGGTGCCGGATGCCCCCGCACGGCTCCGCGCCACGTGGGGCTGCCGGACCGTGTCCCAGGTCCTGCACAGGAACCTCCTCCTCGTGCTTCCGAGGCCTCGGGCCTGGGACAAAGCAGCCCTAGGTGCTGCCGCAGGCCTGGCTCGAGCAGCCCCAGGCCTCCCCCTCCTCGTATGAAAGAGCTGAGCGGGGGTCTGCGGCTCCCAGGAGGCACCTGGGTCCTGCACTGAGCGTGCAGCCAGGGCTGTTCAGGTGCCTGCTCTGTTCGGCACAGCCAGGGGCGGTTCGGCATTTCCAGCACCGGTCACTGGGGTTCCCTGTGCTGCTGGCGGGAGGCCTTGCAGGCGGACGGGGTGCCTGTGGGTGGTTTGTTGGGTGAGCTGGTTGCAGTGTGGGGGCTTGAAGTGCAGCAGGGCAGGGTCCTCCCCCCTCCCCACTGCAGTGCCCATGTCCGCTGGGCCCATGGTGACGCTGGTCCCTGTCACAGCACGGCCGAGCGCCTCCTGCCTGGCGCCAAGTTCCACCGGTACGTGAGCGGCCCAAGCAGCGTCGTGCGCTCCCCCACTCCCTACGCTGTCCCTGCGAAGCTGGCAGAGCACCTCGACTTTGGTAGGAGCTGCCCCCCGGGGCTGTCGCACACAGGCTGACCAGGCTCAGCCTCCCACTGCCGAACAAAACTTGCCCCGCAGAGCAACTTGGAAGGGCATTTCCCCCAGTTTCCAGCCTCTCCTCAGCCTGCTTCTGCCCCAGGGTCTCTGTCCCTCCACAGGAAAAGGGGCCATGCCTTGTCACCTGACACCTGCCGTTTCTGAGTGTGCTGGGGAGGCAAAGGATGCAAGAGCTGTAGCCAGCCCCGGGCATGCAGCTAGCTCTGCGGTGGGCAGAGCAGGGAGCCTAGTTGCTCAGGGAGCAGAAGGAGATCCTGGGTTCCCAGAGCCTGCCCAGAGGCACATGGGGCAGCATCAGCCCCAGCCTGCGGTGAGCCTGCGGGGGTGGCAGGTCCAAAGCCTCAGAGCCCTGGGCTGTGGCTGGCACCAGAGTGCCCTGCAGGTCACCCTGCGCTGGACACCGCGGCAGAGCAGCCCCAGGGGGAGTCAGCTGCAGGGGGAGAGATCCCTGTCCTGCTGCCTTTTGGTGCTGGGGTCTCCCAGGGTGGTCTCCCTTCTAAGCACTCCTGGGCCCCTCCCTGCCCAGCCACAGAGGCCACGGCGTGCGGCAGCCCTGGCTGCTCCCTCTACACGCGGGTCGTTGTGGGGGAGGGGGTTAAGCCTCGTTGGCAGCAGGTGCCCTGGCCCCTGACGGCCTGTTCCTGGTGCAGTGGGAGGCCTGCACCGGTTCCCTGCGAAGAGGAAGGTGGTGAGCAAGGCCTGGGCCACAGAGCCGGCACCTGGAGCTCAGTCCCAGCAGGGGGGCTTCCACCTGGGCGTGACACCCTCTGTCCTCCGCAAGCGCTACAACCTGACGAAGGAGGACATTGGGGCCCTGTCCAACAACAGCCAGGCCTGTGCCCAGGTAACTGTAGGGACCACCCCTCCCCCAATAGCAGCTGGGCAGTTCACCCAAGCAGTGCTTGCAAGAACTGACAGGTGAGCAACTGGATCAGTCACCATGGTGTGAGCTGCTCCAACAACCTCTGGGCCTGTGCCTAGGTCACCGTAAGAGCCCCCTAGTAGCGCTAATCACTGGATCTGCACTCAGGTCACCATAGTAACATCTCTCCTGATTACCTGGGTCCAGGCCCAGCAGTTATAGTGACAACACCCCTTGACAATCATCAGCCCTGTGCCAGGGTAACATGGTGACACCCCCGAGAACCACTGGGCTTAAATCTGGGTAACCACACTTAACACTGACAGCATGGAGGTGTCGCGCATTGTAGCATCATCAAGCAGCTGAGCTTGTGAGACCCTCTGAGGGGCACAGCTTGTCCAGCCCCTGCTCTAGACAGGACCGGCTTCATCCAAGTCCTGTTCTCCCAGACACGTCCCTGCCTGACCTGTTCCTAACACCATGCCGCCATCCCCGAGAGCCGCCGCCCTGCACCAGGGAACGTGGGTGTCTGCATCCTCTTGCCAGCTGTGCGCCCACTGCAGAGGAAGGGGAAACCCCCTCAGCTGGTCCAACCTACGATGGGGGGGAAATCCCTTCCTGCCCCCAGTGCAGCATCACCCTGAACAGGGGGGCAAGAACCTCTAGCTAGGACCCTGCAGGGCTGGTCCCAGCAGGAGCTTTGGCACAGCCCAGGTGAGGGTCAGCAGCTTGTGGCATCTGGGGGTTGGGACACACCTGCTTGAGGTGGGGGCAGCCCAGCCCCTGGGACCAGAGGGGCCTGTCTCACCCCTGCCTTGTCCCCCAGTTCCTGGAGCAGTACTTTCACCAGGCTGACCTGGCCGAGTTCATGCAGCTCTTCGGGCGTAGCTTCGGGCACCGCTCCTGTGTGGACCGAGTGGTTGGGCAGCAGGGCCAGGGCAGGGCGGGGCTGGAGGCCAGTCTGGACGTGGAGTACATCATGAGTGCCGGTGCCAACATCTCCACCTGGGTCTTCAGCAATCCAGGTACTCTCCCTCTCCAGGGCTGCCCTGCCCTGGGTGTTGGGGGAAGGTCGGGGGAGCACTCCCTAGCAACATGGCTGGGTTGGATGCCTGGGCTGTGGGGCACAGATGTAGCTGGGCTTGCCTGAAACAGGACAGCAGGTGGATTTTGGAGCCTCCGTCTCCTCTGCAGCTTCCTGGTGTCATGACCACGACAGTGTCAGTCGTGGGGTCACCAGGGCCCGTGCTCGGCTCTGTCATCCCCTGCTCGTGCTCAGGTCACCCCTGCTGACACTTTGACTCTTTTAGCCCCAGCCTTGGCTTGCGGCTGGTTCAGCTCATTGCCCTCAGGGTGGGCCCTGGGCTGGGCAGAGTGGTCAGGGGACCTGTTCTCATGCTGCCTCCACCTCACGGCCCCCTTGGTGATGGCAGCACAGGGTCTGACCCTTTGGCTGCCCGGCAGGGAGGCACGAGACCCAGGAGCCCTTCCTGGCCTGGCTGCTGCTGCTCAGCAACATGTCGGCACTGCCCTGGGTGCACTCGGTGAGCTACGGGGATGATGAGGACAGCCTGTCTGGTGCTTACCTGCAGCGCGTCAACGTTGAGTTCCAAAAAGCAGCGGTCCGGGGCCTCACCGTGCTCTTTGCCTCCGGTATGTGCTGCCTCACCGCATGGTGACCCTGTGCCTGTCAGGCCCCAGCCCCAATGGGGCTTGCTGGGCTGGGCGCATGGCAGAGCAGGATTTCTGTTTGGGCATTTGCAGGATCAGATAGACACGGGAGGCTGCAGGTATGAGGGCCCTTTGCTCTAGGCTGCCCAGCCTGGCTTGCTTCATATCTCCCACAGCCAGGGGGATTTTTCCTGCCAAACAGCTGGAGGCCCACAGGGCTTTTCAGCCCGGGTGTCTCAGCCTGTTCCAGCGCCTCCCAAGTCAGTGCCAGTCTATGGCCCTCATGGGGCCACATGAGAAGAGATGTCCTGAGTGACCCAGAGTCTCTGCCTTGCAGGGGATGAAGGTGCCGGATGCAGGAAATCCCCTGGGGGGGCCCACGCTTTCCGGCCCAGCTTCCCAGCCTCCAGGTAACCCATGGGAGCCCTGTGCAGCCTCCCCAGGGCAGTGCCATTGTGGGCCTTGTGCCCAGGGGACCCCCGGGCCAAGTGGCTCCAGTGAACACCAGCTGCAGGGCAGGGCTGCGTTTGTAGGTGGACTTTGCTGGGGTGGTGGGAGGCTTGGCCACATGGGAGGTGGGCAACCTCTCACCTGTCTCTCACCCTGTTCTCATTAAGAAACTGGGGGCTGTGGTGTCAACACCCACACAGTCAATTGGGTCGCCAACTGGCTGGAGGGCCGCACCCAGAGAGTGGTGGTGGATGTGTCTTTTTCGACCCGGAGGGACGTGGGCAATGGGGTCCCCCAGGGCTTGGTCCTCAGGCCCGCACTGTTCAACATCTTCATCAGTGACTTGGACAAGGGGGTAATAAGCACCCTGTTCAAATTTGCTGATGACACTAAGATGTGGGGGGATGTGGGCATGCTAGAAGGGAGGAATAGGCTGCAATCAGACCTAGACAGGTTACAAGGGTGGGTGGATGAGAATAGGATGGGATTCAACAC